ACTTTGTCCAAAATCTAATCATTTCACGTCAGGCCGAAATAAACCTTAAGTTTAAAATTTAGTGTTTTTTCTTTATCCGTTTTTGAGTTTTCTTCAAAATTCGAAATTTACACATTTTCTCAAATATTTCGAATACAGTCCATTTTATAGAAATTATGTATAAAATAAAAATTATTATTACAAACAAACAACTTTTACATTTTGTCAAATTTCTCGAATACGGATCATTTTAGGAAAATTTTGTATAGAACAAAAATTCTAGATAATTATATTAGAAGTAACTTTTATTTGAAGAATTTTCTTCTCCAAACGTAAATAACAGATATATTTCATAAAATATAAAAATGACCACCTATAAAGTACCCCCCCAGATGTTCCGACTCTGCCCAAAATCTAATCAGTTCATAAGACGCTGGAATAAATATTAAGTTTAACACACACACACACACACACACACACACACACACACACACACACACACACACACACACACACACACACACACACACACACACACACACACACACACACACACACACACACACACACACACACACACACACACACACACACACACACACACACACACACACACACACACACACACACACACACACACACACACACACACACACACACACACACACACACACACACACACACACACACACACACACACACACACACACACACACACACACACACACACACACACACACACACACACACACACACACACACACACACACACACACACACACACACACACACACACACACACACACACACACACACACACACACACACACACACACACACACACACACACACACACACACACACACACACACACACACACACACACACACACACACACACACACACACACACACACACACACACACACACACACACACACACACACACACACACACACACACACACACACACACACACACACACACACACACACACACACACACACACACACACACACACACACACACACACACACACACACACACACACACACACACACACACACACACACACACACACACACACACACACACACACACACACACACACACACACACACACACACACACACACACACACACACACACACACACACACACACACACACACACACACACACACACACACACACACACACACACACACACACACACACACACACACACACACACACACACACACACACACACACACACACACACACACACACACACACACACACACACACACACACACACACACACACACACACACACACACACACACACACACACACACACACACACACACACACACACACACACACACACACACACACACACACACACACACACACACACACACACACACACACACACACACACACACACACACACACACACACACACACACACACACACACACACACACACACACACACACACACACACACACACACACACACACACACACACACACACACACACACACACACACACACACACACACACACACACACACACACACACACACACACACACACACACACACACACACACACACACACACACACACACACACACACACACACACACACACACACACACACACACACACACACACACACACACACACACACACACACACACACACACACACACACACACACACACACACACACACACACACACACACACACACACACACACACACACACACACACACACACACACACACACACACACACACACACACACACACACACACACACACACACACACACACACACACACACACACACACACACACACACACACACACACACACACACACACACACACACACAGGAAAGTAAAAATAATAAAATTTTAAATTTTATTGCTGATATAAATATATAATTTTTTAAACACAAATATATTATGGATTCATCTGATAATTGTGTGCAATGCCACATAAAAATTACAGATTCAGAAATTGACATTTTTGAGCCATCTACCTTAGGAACCCGTGAACCCTACCTAGTTTCTTAAGTAGAACTGAATGACTTAGTCAGGGATTTGGGACTTCCAAAAGACCTCTCTGAGATTTTAGGATCAAGGTTTAAAGAAAAAAAAATACTTGCTCCAGGTACTACATTTTATTGGTATAGAAATCGTGAGGCTGAATTTGTCAATTACTTTGCCGCAGCTGGTTCACTTGTATATTGTCAAAATGTATCTGACTTGGTTATTCACCTAGGTGCTCCTGAATACAATCATGCCGAGTGGAGCTTTTTATAGACTCTTCAAAGAGAAGTCTTAAAGCTGTTCTACTTCATAATGGCAATTTATATGCATCTGTTCCTGTTGGTCATTCTACTCAGCTAAAAGAAAATTACGAAAATCTTGAGGTACTGCTTTTAAGAATAAACTACAGACAACATAACTAAGAAAATCACAAAAAATAACACTATGAACGTATAGGCTCTTAAAATATATTAATAATTCTATTACTATGGTGAGAATTATATTTATTGCTAAATCTCGAAACTATTACCAGTGGGCTTTTCTTTATTATTATGAAAACTAAAATTTCGCGCCCGAATGGCCGGCGCCCGAACAGCCGCGTCCGACCGACCGCGATCCCGATTGACCCCGCGCCCGTACGGCGGCGCCCGAACGGCCGCGCCCGAATGTCCGACTCCGAGAAACATTTACGATTATTATAATCTAATCATTAAGATCAATTAGCAATTTTATTTTTGCCTAACTTATCTAGGGATGAAAAACTTCATAAACTAAGATTCTACTCACTATATAGTGTACTTTGAGTGTAATTATTTAGTTACACTACCGTTAACGTATAACACTTAACCACACTATACTTTGTTTTAATCTAACATCAGTGAACTAACTCAAAAGGCCTGGTTGTCTGGAGTCTTATTAGATTGGCATTGTTGAGGAGATGGATAATCTCAAGGTTTCCATGTTGGAGCAGTCGTTGTTGGTGATTACTGGCAAATTTTTGAATTGTATTTTCAACAGTTTCCACTTTAAGGTCCCTATGAAGATCAGTATTACGGCAGTATCAGGGTCCGTCGACGATGTTCCTTAATACTTTATTCTGGAAACGTTGAAAAACTTGGATATTATATTTACTGGCACAGCCCCAAAGCTGTCAAATTGCTTCATTTCCACCAATTTCTTTAAATGCACTAATTTGAAACAAAATATAGGTAATTAAAAAGGATTTATACAAATTATTTGATTAACAATAATTTTATTAATATTGTTTTAAATTAACTATAATAAAACAATACTCATGTCTAAACAAAACATGAAGATCCACCTAAGCAAAGTATTATTTATGTAGTTCTCACCTTAATTTCTAAAGACATATTCTGCTTCCCATATAACAAGTTCACAAGGCATGAATATCAAAAACTAATTATTTAGTAGGGATAGAACGACACCGATATTGATATTAATATATATCGGCAGTTGTTGCCGATTATCGGTATCGTATCGTATCGGTAAGATAATTGCAAACTTTTTGCGCTTTTCACCATTTTCAGTGCATAAATGAAATAATTTGTTAATCAAAATAATTTTTTTATTCCAAAGGTAACATTTTTACTAAAAAAGTAAAACAAAATAATCAGCAACCATTCTCTTTCTACCAGCACCCGTTTCCGCTTCCATTTTATTTAAACTCTCCATTTAAATAGAATATTTTTATTTATTTATTTTATCTCCTCTAATTACCAGTCAAGTTTAAAACGCCGTGTTTTAAAGCACTACAGAATATAAGAGGCTTACCCCAAAATCCGAAATGTCACTCACTACCAATCACAAACGTTTCCACGCAACGAGACTTCCCCGGTTTTTGTTTCGGTCGTGTATAAATAGAAGGCGTTGTTTGCCGATACGATATATCGGTACATCGTCACGTAAATATCGGTATCGACCGATATATCGTATCGGCAAAAAGTGATATCGTTCTATCACTATTATTTAGAATATAGGCTTGTTTCTAGCTGGTGCGGCTGGACAGGGATATGATAAAATAACTACATATCCCATCTTCTTCTTACAAATGAGAAATTCTTCATTAATTGTTGGCCTTTTACAACATAACCCGTTTAGTAACCTTTTGTGTAATATGTATACCATGTTTCAGAAACATTTTCAGTGAAATATTTAACTAAAATATTTCAGAAATATTTCAGAAACTTGTGCTTGAAATGTTATATGTTTGAAACGTTTGAAATATTTCTGAAATAATGTGTGCTGTATGGGATTATGTACAATGTGTTGCCTACCTTTTCAAATATCATTCTTTCATAAAAAAAACATAAAAGGGACAGAATAACGGTTAAACATCCGAAAACTAAAGTTGTACCTACATTTGAAAACGTGAAAATGGAAAGCCTATTTCCCTCTACGAAATTAAGGAATCCATCCCCATAATCCCAAAGAGAAAACAAACCAAAGAAAATTGAAAAAGCCGAAAATGTCAAGAGCCAACTTTGATATGGGCCATTTTAAGTTTTTGAATAACAGAGGCGATTGCCCTACGACATTTTTTTCCAATATTAAAAAAAATATTTCCATTTGAAACCGTTTAGAAACCTTTCACGGCGCGTCTGTACCACACACTTATAATAGGGTCCAGTGTGTTGTCCAGACGCGCCCTGCGAGGTTTCTAAACTCCTATATAAGAGTATGCATGAAAATAAGTTTCGGATATTTGATTTCGATCACCATTGTCAGATAACTTTCATATAAATCGTTAAGTTTGATATAATCGAAAATGTGAATATGTTCTGTTCTAAAATATAAGTAGGTACCTAATATAATCTACATATTATTAGGTATTACTAAATGTATAAGAGCAGCATTTCTAACCCATTACATTTTTAAACAATTTCTGTCAATTTGTTAAAAAAAAAGATAATACTCTAAAATTAAAAATTTATTATTAAATCAACGACAAGATTTAACCTATAGCGATATGTTTCAACTTTCAATCTATAAAATATAACAATTTAAATATGCATTTTAATCGAAATATATAATTAAAATAACCAGTTCTCTTTTTCTCAACTAAAAAAAAAACGTGATTACCACGTATTTGTTTACAAATCATTTAAAAAGCAGATAAGATATCTATCGGTCTAATACAATGGTTGTATGTATTAAAATTTAAAATCGACAGTATCAAAATCATTTTTGAAGATGGACGATCAGCGGCTTTTGACTACGGGAGCAGAACTTTCAGAAATAAAATTTTCTAGTGTAAGTATTACTTTCTGAGTAACATAATATAAACATCTCCAAATTTTAAGCAAATACTCTTCAAGTTCTTTTTGCCCAAGTAACTTTACAAACCTCATAAATCATTTATATATTTTTTTAGTTATATCCGATTACTTAATTACAATGTGTTTCAAATTCCATAAAAAATGTGAAATGATTGATAAGTTGGTACTTATATACAGGGTGAATAATTCTTCAATATTTCAGTTTGTGTTATAGACCTGCAAACAAGTTTCAAATAAAAGTTATATGAATTTAAAAAAAAAGATATTTTAAAAATATTTTTGGATATTCAGGGGGTTGCATTTTTGCCTGGAAAATAAAAATGTATATTTTTTTTGAACACCCTGTATTTTATTTCAGTTTTAGAATGATTTAGTAATACTGTATTCAACCCTAGAATTTTTCTTCAAAGTATTACAGGGTTACAAAGCTTTTAATTTTTTTATGAAATTAAACAACGATGCTGTCCCCAAAATAAATTATCATAATTTAGGTAGGTTTACATTGTTTCAGAATTGTTTAGTATACAAGTGTAAGTCCCTGTACTATTTGATTTTCTTAAAATTCGTTTCTCGATATGTTTTGGTATTAGGAAAAGGTAGTACGAGATAATGATTCAGCGCACAGCCGGTTGTTGATATTATTGTGTCATACGTATCAAGCTAGCAGAGCACCTTTGGATTTTTCACATTCTGAGTATTTTAGGCTCATTTTAGGCTAATTTTAAACCAACATAAAAAAATTTCCGCTCCTTTCTTTATAGGAAAAATTAGGTGCTCTGCTAGCTTGATAATACGACTATATATTGTTTCCCGTTAGTAAAATTGAGGAAACTAAAAAATAGAGACGACATAAATAATTTCAGGCTCATTTTAAACTAATTCTATACCAAAATAAAAAATTTTCCGCTTTTGCCTTTAATGGAAAAATTAAGTGCTCTGCTAGCTTAACAATATGAGTTTTTCGTTAAAAAATTTAAATAACTTAAAAATGGATGTCGTAATTTTAGGCTCATTTTAGGCTAATTTAGTACCAACATAAAAAAAATTTGGCGTCTTTCTTTATAGGAAATATTAGGTGACCTGCTAGTTTAATTATGCTAGCTTGATAGGGAGAAGTGGGCACCCTTCGTACACGGGGCTCGTTCGTACAACACCGCCACTGGTCAAATATCGCGCGCAATCATTGTATAAATATATTTATACAATGATATTATTATCAATATTTTTTATTCTATACAAAATTTTCCTAAAGTGGTCCGTATTCGAGAAATTTGACAATATGTAAAAAAAATAATTTTTTATAAAAATTGTTAAAATAAAAGTTGTTTGTAATGTAATTCTCTATATTTTTTATCCCAAACATAATTTCTCTAAAATGGACCGTATTCGAGATATTTGAGAAAATGTGTAAATTTCGAATTTTGAAGAAAACTCAAAAAACGATAAAGGAAAAAAAAACATTAAATTTTTAAACTTAAGTTTTATTTCGGCCTGACGTCAAATGATTAGATTTTGATAAAAGTCGGAACATCTGGGGGATACTTTATGGGAGGCCGTTTTTATATTTTATGGAATATATCTGTTATTTATGTTTGGAGAAGAAAATTGTTCAAATAAAAGTTACTTCTAATATTATTATCTATAATTTTTGTATATAAAATGGACCGTAATGGAAAAATTGGAGGAAAATTGCTAAATTTAAATTTTTCAGTATTTTTGTTTTCAATGAATATCTATAGAAAAATGTTTCGAGTTAGATGTATGTGGAAAATGTATATATTTGGTTTATCCTCTAAACATTTTTAGAGGTGCTGCAATAGGTTGTACAAAATAACCGGAAAAAGCCTGTAATAACTAGATAGGAAAGTCATGTGTTGGACACATCAGATTTTTTATTTTCCTTAATTTTATTACCGGAAAATCACTATAAAGTCATATTTTTAAGCTAGCATAGCTCCCAATTTTTCCGATAAAAGCCTGAGTGTAAATTGTTTTGTTAGTTTAGAATTAGCCTAAAATGAGTCTAATATTATGTTGTTATCATTTTTTACATTGCTGAATTTTTTAATGAAAAACGCATAAGTGTCTGTTGTTAAGTCAACAGAGTACCTAATTTTTTCTATAAAGAAAGGAGCGGAATTTTTTTTAGGTTGGTATAAAATTAGCCTAAAATAATGACGTAATCAAAATTTTAAAAATCCAAAGGTGCTCTGCTAGCTTGATATCAAGCTAGCAGACACTTAATTTTTCTGTTAAAGAAAGGAGCGGAAAATTTTTTATGTTGGTATAAAATTAGCCTAAAATAAGCCTAATATTATGGCATACTCAGATTGTTAAAATTCCAAAGGTGTTCTGCTAGCTTGGTACGTATTATTTTGTCAGCGTTTTCGTGCCGCACTTGAAGTGATCACAATAAAGTCGTTGATTTATGGTTATTACCCATAGTATGGATTTCGAGTGTTTTAAGTTACTTGAAATTAAATAGAGACATTCTGTTATTTTAACGTTAGAAAGGTGCTGGTTAGTGGTTATATGTGCGGTTTAAAAGAGTGTGCTTGATATATTGTGAATTGTGTTGTGGGTGCTGGCTGGCGGGATTTGCAGGTGAGATTTATCACTGAGTGTCCTTTTTTTGAGTTTTTAGATAAATACCTTTAATATTTATTGATATTTAATTGTTGATTAGTTTATAAAAATAACTGTTTTGAATACTTATTTAATTCGTGAGCACATAAAAATGATATCTGAAGCGAACAATCGTGGGTTTAATCCCTTTTGCACCGCTCAGAATTCGACCTTCGGGGTCAAGCTCTAGTAGATGGAGCGAGTAAGTAGGTATAGAGGCACTTGAGCCTGGGAACCAAATTTCCTTTGATGATGCCGACAATGATGCCGCCAAAGGTCATTAATCATTTTAATTACCTGTCAATCATTAATCACCTCGTCCATAATTAATGACCTGTCAATCATTAATTACCTATCAATCATTAATAACCTGTCAATCATTAATAATTATTTAATTCGCTAAATGATGGTAAATACAACGCGGCTTCGAACAAAGAGGCCAGTATTGTAAATATCACACCGCGGTTGAAGAAGAGGTATCTGATTCCAGGTAAAAGGGCTCGGCTCGTAAGGGTCATAACTAATAGGGATGCGACATGTTACATTTGAATTAATTGCTTGAATAGATATACGTGTTCGTAAGAAAGGCCATGTGTTTTAAATATGAAATGAGATCACTGCAGTTAAATCTATGTAATAAATATTTGTAATTAATTTGGATTTTATGAATATATTTATGAATACCAATGTTAAACTCTGGTGAGCATTAAACTGAAGTACATTAAACTATAAGTATATGGGGTATGGTGCGACTACAAACGATCAAAAAAATTCAAAATACATCGACACATGATCTGGTTAGACAAGAATGTATGTATTTAGTTACTTATACGACAACTTAATTATCGACTTTTGTCAAATAGGTCATTGACCCTATATTGGGATTACCGTTCTAGTTATTGAGTTTATTTTTCGTTAACTGGTAACATCAATCTAAGGTGAGTTCGGTCTACGCACTCTTTTCACTATATTCACTCCTAAAGTACCTAAGGCGTTCGGGTACGGAAGGAGTTAAAATAAAAGTTCCTCTTTGACCGTTCGGAGATCCGTGGAGTGGAGTGTGGATCGGGCATGCGCATAAGGTGATTTAAATCGATAATAAGATAATTGTGACTAATTCTTAAGTAAAAATGCTTTTTATTTGATTCCCGTGCATACCATTAATATGGAAAAAACTTATACGGTTATTACTGATAAGTACGATTAGGTTTTAAGTATTAGTATGTCACATTGACAACTGACATTGAACTCTGAGAGTAAAAGGAGTAAAATCATATGCGCACTCCGTTTACGCCTACTTGCTCCACTTCACTCTAGAGTGCGCAGCCCGAACTCACCTCTAGTCACGAGCGTATTATTGAAGAATGCCGGACAGTTGCGAGATTAGTGTGCATCCACATTCTTGCAACAGTTAAGTCGTTGTCTTTCCGGTCACGCTGTGGATGCGCGACCACTGGAGGGCGTTCCACCAAGGGACGCAACACCATGGAACTTGACCATATAAATGACGATAAATGAGGGGTGAATCATGGAAATGGAAAGTAGTGGGACCTTAAATGGTGTTACAAGAAGCCACTTTCTGCAGTGCCGACAAACTACAGAATGAATAAAGTACAGTGGTGCCTCATGACCAAAATATTGGGGTTCACACTGACATAATATAGATAGCAGTACATATTTAGGTAACCAAATTTCAGTGATGTAGTTGTGGTAAATCTATATAATACATAATTATTATCAGTAGATTAAATGGGTCGTAGAATAGGCTTATAAATTTCAATGCTAAAAATTATGTTGAAAATAAAACCGAATTACATTAATTTATAGGTATACAGGTTATGGTACGATTATAAATAATTCAAAGTGAAAAGTAACCTACTACTTTTCTGTTTCATTAGGTAGACAAGTGTTATCGGATAAATACTTGCTAAATACTAGTTGAATTATACTTAAATACTACTTAAATACTATTTGAATACTACTTGAATACTATTTGAATACTACTCGAATACCACCTGAATACTACTGGAATACTACTTAAATACTATCTGAACACTACTTGAATACGATTTGATGGCTATTTAAAGATCCGTTAAACCAGTTTAAATAGCAACCTAACACAGATTGAAGACCTACTAGAAATAGACCTATCTAGAAATACATAAAATGTTATTTTTAGATTATAAAAACGTGTTATTTATGTAAATATAGTTAATTTAAAATATCGCACCCATTTTTTCAATAGTGCCATTCCCTAAAAAATTTAAATTGACTTTTTTTGCACAGTATACATTATGAACATGCCTACAATATATAAAAGTGCTACATCAATAGTTCTAATAAATTCCG